CGCCAAAACCCGGCAACAGGCCACAGGCGAAAACAAACGCACACTAGACAGTCAAAGTAAGTATGCACAACGTGCAGGACTCTCTATTACAACCCGAAAATAAGAGAGAACAAAATACAGAGGACCAAACAACCACACGACAGCAGAACAATTACACACAACCCCTGACCTAACACAAGGGAACTAAATAGGGTGCCTAATGAAACTAAACAACGAACAGGTGTGACAAACAGACAAAACCAATCAAACAAGAAACATTGAACGGTGGCAGCTAGTACTCCGGAGACGACGACCGCCGAAGCCTGCCCGAACAAGGAGAAGGGGCCGCCTCGGCCGAAACCGTGACAGTGAAAACCCTGAGCGGTTTCCTTCCTCTCTGATAACTGAGTTAGGAAGGATATTTGTAGTGACTGGGTGTTTTGATACACCATCCATATAACTTCACCATGCTCAAAGTGATATTTAATGTCTGCTTTTTTTTTTTTACCCATCTACCAATAGGTGCCCTTCTTTGCGAGGTATTGAAAAACCTCCCTGGTCTTTGTGGTTGGATCTGTGTTTAAAATTCACTGCTCGACTGAGGGACCTTACAGATAATTGTTTGTGTGGGGTACAGAGATGAGGTAGTCATTCAAAAATCATATTAAACACTTTTATTGCACACAGAGTTGGTCTATTCAACTTATGATGTGACTTGTTAAGCACATTTTTACTCCTGAACTTTTTTAGGCTTGCCATAACAAAGGGGTTGAATACTTATTGACTCAAGACATTTCAGCTTATCGTTTTTAATTAATTTGTACAAATATTGTGGGTATTGTGTGTAGGCCAGTGACACAAAATCTTATTTTAAATGCAAGCTGTTACACAACAAAATGTGGAAAAAGTCAAGGGGTGTGAACACTTTCTGAAGGCACTGAGTATACAAAACATTAAGAACACATGCTCTTTCCATGACATAGACTGACCAGGTGAATCCAGGTGAAAGCTATGATCCCTTATTGATGTCACTTGTTAAATCCACTTCAATCAGTGTAGATAAGGGGAGGCGACAGGTTAAAGAATAATTTTAAAGCCTTGATACAATTGAGACATGGATTGTGTATGTGTGCTATTCAGAGGGTGAATGGGCAAGACAAAAATGTAAGTGCCTTTGAACAGGGTATGTTAGTAGGTGCCAGGCACAGTGGTTTGTGTCAAGAACTGCAACGCTGCTGGGTTTTTAACACTGAACAGTTTCAAGAATGGTCCACCACCCAAAGGACATACAGTCAACTTGATACAACTATGGGAAGCATTGGCGTCAACATGGGCCAGCATCCATGTGGAATGCTTTCGACACCTTGTAGAGTCCATGCCCCGACGAATTGAGGCTGTTCTGAGGGCAACTCAATATACTGTATATAACGGTGTGTATAGACAGTATGGACAGTATATGAATAGGAAAGGTGTGTAAAGCAATAGTTATATAGGATGAGCATTGACTAGAATACATTATATACATTTGAAGTGGGTAAAACAGTATGCAAACATTATTAAAGTGACCAGTGTTAAATGACTATGTACATAGGGCAGCAGTATCTAGGGTGGTGGGTAGAGTACTGGGTGGTAGCCAGCTAGTAACAGTGACTAAGTTCAGGGCAGGGTACTGGGTGACTATTTAACAGTCTGATGGCCTGGAGATAGACGCTATTTTTCAGTCTCTCAGTCCCAGCTTTGATGCACCTGTACTGCCTCCGCCTTCTAGATGGTAGCGGGGTGAACAGGCCGTGGCTCGGGTGGCAGAGGTCCTTTATGATCTTCTTGGTCTTCCTGTGACACCGGGTGCTGTAGATGTTCTGGAGGGCAGACAGAGAGCCCTGCGGTTGCGGACGTTGCAATTGCCGTACCAGGTGGTGATACAGTCCAACAGGATGCTCTTAATGGTGCATCTGTAGAAGTTTGTGAGGGTCTTAGGGGCCAAGCCGAATTTCTTCAGCATCCTGAGGTTGAAAAGGCGCTGTTGCGCCTTCTTCACCACACTTTCTGTGTGGATGGACCATTTCAGGTTGTCAGTGATGTGTACGCAGAGGACTTCAAGCTTTTTACTCTCTCCACTGCGGCCCTGTCAATGTGGATTGGCCCGTGCTCTCTCTGCTGTCTCCTGAAGTCTACGATCAGCTCCTTCATGTTGTTGACGTTGAGCGAGAGGCTATTTTCCTGGCACTACTCCGCCAGGCGCCTCACCTCCTCCCTGTAGGCTGTCTCGTGGTTGTTGGTAATCAGGCCTAACACTGTTGTGTCGTCTGTAAACTTGATGATTGAGTTGGAGACGTGCGTGGCCACACAGTCATGGGTGAACAGGGAGTACAGGAGGGGGCTGAGCACGCAACCTTGTGGGGCCCCCGTGTTGAGGGTCAGCGTGGTAGAGGTGTTGTTGCCTACCTTCACCACCTGGAATTGGCCCGTCAGGAAGTCCAGGACCCAGCTGCACAGGGCGGGGTTTGATTGCGTCATCCATGGATCTTTTGGGGCAGTATGCAAATTGTAGTGGGTCTAGGGTGTCAGGTAAGGTGGAGGTGATATGATCCTTAACTAGCCTCTCAAAGCACTTCATGATGACAGAAGTGAGTGCTATGGGGCGATAGTCATTTAGTTCAGATACCTTTGCTTTCTTGGGTACAGGAACAATGGTGGACATTTTCAAGCAAGTGGGGACAACAGACTGGGAAAGGGAGAGATTGAATATGTCCGTAAACAATCCAGCCAGCTGGTCATGCTCTCAGGACGCAGCTTGGGATGCTGTCTGGGCCGGCAGCTTAGCGAGGGTTAACATGCATAAATGTCTTACTCATGTCGGTCACGGTGTGTCTCTTGTCTGAGCTGTTGAATTGGGACTCCACTTTGTCCCTGGACTGTTGTTTTACCTCTTTGATTGCCTTACAGAGGGCATAGCTGGTCTGTTTGTACACGTCCATGTTCCCAGTCACCTTGCCGTGGTTAAATGTGGTGGTTCGTGCTTTCAGTTTTGCGTGAATGCTGCCACCTATCCACGGTTTCTGGTTTGGATAAGTTCTAATCGTCACAGTGGGAACAACATCCTCTATGCACTTCCTGATGAACTCAGTCACCGAGTCAGTACATACGTCAATACTATTCTCAGAGGCAACCCAGAACATTTCCCAGTCCGCGTGCAATTTGACTTCCGCCTTTAATCCAACCCCACCGAAATACATACATACATACACAGATTTTGGAGGGCTGCCTCCGGCTGTTGGCTCACCTCTCTAACCGCTATGCTACCTGCCGCTAGCCTACTTATTTTCCTCAGACAGTTTAGGGTATGGCAATGTCAGGGACTTACCTTGTACAGACAGACAATCACAAGAGAGAAACCCACAACCATTCACAGTGACCAATACTTATTTTTATCCTTAGATAGTTAGCCTCTTGAAGTGTCCACTGCTGACCATGTTGTGATGGCCCAAGCTTGAACAATCTCCCAATGGCTTACATGTCTCTCTCCCACTGATCATACAACTGTCTGAGGTGAAAGCAACAGCCAGTCAATCTTATGTCATAGTAGGTGCTGTACTCTGATTCTTCTTTGACCCAATAGTTTTACTCAAAATTCAGTGGTTACCATTAACCAGACGTTGTTAGGACCATTGTTACAGTGACTAATGTACAGTATGCGCTATATGTGGCAAGTCAGTTTACAATTAGGTGTGTCAGCCTATAATGGGGCTAAGCAGCATTGGCATTGTTTAAAACCTCCATATCCTCTCATTTATTTTGAATAGGCAATAACTGCCAACGAGAGTCTGTAATTCCGATGACAAAAAAGTTTTGATCCCCCCCTATAGATTGCATTTGTTTAAAAATGAATGAATTGCTGGGGGGCTTCTGGTGGAATATTAATTCAATTTGTGCTCTGTTCCAAAGTCAAAGCTGAGCAATTTTATAGATGCCTCTCTTCACACACCAGCCACTGGGCACACACTGGTTGAATCAACGTTGTTTCCACGTCCTTTCAATTAAATTATGTTGAATCAACATGGAATAGATGTTGTATTGACATCTGTGCCCAGTCGGCAGCTTTGTATAATACAACAGAGCATCATATTCTTGACAGTCGTTTTAGCTAATGTTCCACTCCTTGCCACTCCTGTTGCAAGGAGTGGAATGTAATAGCTGAACAGAGGGGGCAACGAGTCTACATGCAGAGGTGTCTAAAACTTTGTAATTCCATTAAGTGGATTCCATACCATTTAATAGATCCATTCAGGCTAGTTTGGTTTCATTTAAGGGACTTTTTATGAGGGTTAGGCTTTAAATAGTTGAAAGACCGCTTATTATAAGTTTGAAGTAAATAAATACCAAATATCCACTGTTCTAAACAAAAAGCTTGGTTTGATCTCCAAAAAATTATGCTTATGACCAAAGATCGAATTGATTAATAGTCTAGTCCATGCCTTGCATTATGTATCCAATCCCATTGTTGTAACTTTCCTGAACGAGGTCTGGTATAGGCTACAGAAATACTGTTTGTGAGGAATATGCAAAGATTAAAAACTGGGGATAAAGATGCATAATAGGAGAAAAACTAACAGTGGGAAAAATATTTGCATACATACATTAGTAAATGGATGTGTCTGGACCGTGCGTAGGCATATCACCAAGGGGACTAGGAGTCATACCGCGTAATTTAGAGTAGCAGAGCATCAACCAGTCATTGCGCTTCTTCTTCTCAGATTGAAGCCCTCATGCAGCCCTCTATTTCGGATGATTATTTTAGTCACAAACACCATGTAAAATAAAATGAGACAAAGATAAAATAAACAGGATTATAATTTCGATCAATTGTAAACGTTTGAAGATCTAGATGTTGTTGAAAATATGTCTTTCACCGATATAGCATACGGCTGGATCCAATAAGAATTTTAACGCGTCAGAAACGTCTGCGGCGGGGGACCAGAGAGGAGGACTCGGAACTTCATTCGGAGAGCGTCTTTTTAAAAATGGTGCTGTTACGGTTGTTGGATAAGGTGATGGTAAACTCTCTTGTTCTTATGTTCAGTTTGGCGTTGATCTCTGAGTTTGTGGGAGCTCAGAATGACACAGAGCCTGTAGTCCTGGAGGGCAAATGTCTTGTGGTTTGCGACTCTAATCCGACTACGGATTGGAAGGGCTCGTCCTCTCCTCTTGGCATTTCGGTGCGTGCGGCAAACTCCAAGGTCGCCTTTTCTGCGGTCCGGAGCAACAATCACGAACCGTCGGAGATGAGCAATAAAACAAGAATCATATACTTCGACCAAGTAAGACGGTTTTGTATGTTTTTGAGACAGTAGATAATGTTTCATTTTACTTCAACTTTATAACATCAAAGTTGCACTGATAAAACTGCGCTGCAATGCTGTGTAGGATCAACGTTGTAGGCTACACAGTGACAGGTTATTTTCCCAGCAAAACTCAATTGAAATAATTAAAAATATATCATTTGGAAGAGTCTAAAAGGTGGTTTAGAGAGCAACCTACATTGATTAATAATAGTTAATGATTGATTGACTGATTGGTTAATTTGAATTTGAATGGTTGATCAATAATAATGACAAAGCTCACATGTGATCAAACACAATAAAGGGCTATAAATGACCTGCAGGCAGCAGCATAGGTTCATCTGAGAATAGGACATAGCACACTCACTGTCACAATCACACATGCACCTGAATTTACCCCTCATTCTTTACACACAGACACACAGACACACACACACACACACACACACACACACACACACACACACACACACACACACACAAACACACACACACACACACACACACACACACACACACACACACACACACACACACACACACACACACACACACACACACACACATAGTAGAGATGCTTGGTTTGGCTTCATCAATTTGATTGGGTGGTACCAGGGCCGTTTGTAGCGTTTTGGGGGCCCTGAGCTAGATTTGGTTGAGGGGCCCCCCCACCATGCAGGCAAAACATTTTAGTGGCCCCCCTCTTGGCGGCGGAGAGAAAACTGTGCAGCTTTTTTAAAGCACATTTTATGCAATTCTACACATTTTTCAATTGGGCAGAGAGAAAATGCTGCAGTTTTTAAATGAATTTAATGCAATTCTATTCATTTTGCCATGGGGTGGAGAGGAAACTTTGCAGTTTCAAAGCTAATTTTCTGCAGTTCTACACATTTGCCATGGGATGGAGAGAACATTTAGCAGATTTAAAGCTAATTCAGTAATTTGGCCATGATTACTACAATGTTTAGATAGCTGGCTAGCACAGGAGGTTGGTGGCACCTTAATTGGGGAGGACAGGCTCGTGGTAATGGCTGGAGAGGAATTAGTGGAATGGTATCAAATACATCAAACACATGGTTTCCATGTGTTTGATACCATTCCAATCGCTCCATTCCAGCCATTATTATGAGCCATCCTCCCATCAGCAGCCTCCACTGCTGGCTAGACTAACTTACCGAGCAATCTATAAAATGTTGGGCTAATTGAGTGACTGTCAGTGACTGACATAACAAGAGGAAACTGCTGATGTAATACCACGTTTTGAAATTACACGTTGTGTATTCGACTATCCTAACTAAGAACTACTATCCTAACTCCACTATCCTAACTGACTTCCTCTTTTGGGTTGGGGGCCCGCTAGCGGCTGCAGAGACCTAAGCATGTCACTTATGCCTAGAAACGGCACTGGTGGTACTTACAGACTGTGATAATCACACACCAGCTGAGCAGCGCTGTTGATTTATATGAACATGATGGGAATAAATCGTTCTTGTTAAAGCCACCTTGTTCAAGCAAGCTCTCAATTGAGATAGTGCCATATTTATTTAAGTAAATGCAGTACATTTAAAGGTTTTTCCCTGTTTGAATGATCCTAAAATCACAGTGATAGTACAACTCCTGGTGGCACCTCAACTGGCAGGACCTTACATAGTGAGTCATAAGCTGCATGGAGTGTCACATCACATGATTAAAACTGTCAGTACATTTTGAGGGGTCTACGACCGCTGAAATATCAGATTTAACACAACAGTCTTGTCACCATAATTTGAGTGTGACCAGATGAAAAGCTGGTGGTTAAGCCACAATTATTTGAATAGTCAGTTGAATCATTGAGGAGAATATTTATTCATCTTCTAAAATGCTTTATTCTTCTTTCTCTAGGTTCTTGTGAATATAGGCAACTATTTCACATTGGAGTCAGTGTTTTTGTCTCCCAGAAAAGGGATCTACAGTTTTAATTTTCACGTTATAAAAGTGTACCAGAGCCAGACTATACAGGTAAGCAATTTTGGCCTATTTGTTTCAGCAATTTAGCTCCAGTTATGATATCATTTGATTCCCCAGAGACATAATTTGCTATACATTTGCTATGGCTACATAGGGCCTTGTAATGGAGTTATTACAGTGTATTACAGATTAGGAAATATGTCTAAGACTATTGTGTCTAAATCTATTCTGAACTATTTCCTGTGTAGGACTATTTGGACATTTTGGATTTGAATTGACAGAATGGTGCACTGCAGGTTATGAGAGGAAGCTGAAACAAATCTCTGACAAATAACTTCATTTCAATAGATGAGATTACCTGTGTTAATGTTAGGAAAATGTACTGTAAAACATTCATGGGAAATAACAGCCACTGCATGGATAATCTTCTAATTTGGTGATGTATGTTTACACAATTGTAGCCTCAATTTCTAGTCTTTTCATTGCGAAGCTCCAAATCCTGGAGAATTCTGAGCTCTCTCTGGGTGTGAAAAGTGGGAGGAGACTACATGAGTTTATTAAACATACCATCTTATTATTCTGGCTATTTAAGAGAGTGACAAAACTAAGCTAAACAATAATGTTGTTTTTTCAAAGTACATCGTCAAGGGAATGGCTTCTGCATACTGTACATATTCTAACCAATAACAGTAGTGAATAGCAAATTGCTACAGTGAGTAGCTGTGGATGATTACAATGTTTGGCTATGGGCTTGCAGTAATATCATGGCAAGATATTATAGTATAGAACTATAGGGACATTAACTGCATTTCTCCCCTGTCTCGTTCATGTTTGCTCATTGCTGTCTCTTTGGGTCATCCAGGTGAACTTAATGTTGAATGGGAAACCTGTCATCTCAGCTTTTGCGGGTGACAAAGACGTAACTCGAGAGGCAGCCACAAATGGAGTTCTGCTCTTTTTGGATAAAGAGGACAAAGTCTACCTTAAACTGGAGAAGGGGAATCTAGTTGGCGGATGGCAATACTCTACATTCTCTGGTTTCCTTGTTTTCCCTCTGTAAAAAGAAAGAAAACCCCACCATTCAAATGACTTTATCAACAATGTGTTGTCACTGTATAATTAAAACATTTCTACATCAGTTGGATCTAGCCAAAGGATGGATTATATTATGTTCCGTGGTCATGGATTGCTACAGAGACAAGAAAAGAGACATTGAAAAGGGTTGATGTTTGATGGAAATGGGAATCCCTCTATAAATGCAATACTACTCCAGAAAATGTCGTAGTACAGCTCATTGCTATGCTCCTATTACTTGACAACTTCAACAGAGGAACCACACTTCACAACAATTCTTCCCTCACAAACTTAACAGTCCCAGAATATGTTTAGCATAGTATATTTTAAAAAGTTTACATGACAGACCTTTCTAAGTTACCATGCCTCTTTTTAGGATGTCTCCTTTGGAAGAAATTGATTTGTTTCTCTTAGCAAGTTTGGCATGTGTGGTATTACAACGCCGAATTCAGAGCAAAGTCTATCATCCAACTATGAAATGACCGCCTCCTTGCATGTACAGTCACACACGCTCTCTATAGAAGTGATAATTAGTGACACTTGTCTTAATTTGGAGAGTGTCATTCTAACACCAGGATTAACTTGTGAAATGAGTCTGACAATGGAGGTATTGAATTAATGATTTAATGCACCTTTAAATGAGACCAGGTAGATTTAATCAGATACATTTATCAGTCAAGGAGAAAACGCTCTGGGAAAGTAGACACAACCAGAAAGTTAGAAAAGGCTTGAGTACACCAGGGCCATTTAGCAGTGACAAATCCTGTATCGCCTGATGAAACAAAACGTTTTCATTGCGTAGGACTGCATCAGAGAAGCAGGTCATTGCAAAGATCAACAGCACCAGTTTGTTTTGTCTGGCCATTCTCATTACAAGAAGAGATCTGGCTATTAAACAACCATACATCTAAACAGATGTTGTAGATGCAATATTGTCATTGAACTGAGAGGTAGTGGAGGCTCAAGTTCATGCTCAAGAGTTGGACATACTGCAATAGGTCTGGCCTTTTGACGTCACTATTGACCTCCCTGTCATGTGTTGGTTAGAACTTTTACCTTAGATGGGTACATCAGTGGAGGCATGTGTGATGCTTCGTTGAAGAGATCACAATTGTATACTGTATGTTAGCAGTTGATTTTATGCACAACAATTTATTTATTCATTGAATATTTACGCATTGGTTTATTCATAATAGTTTTGTGAATTTAAATACTTATTTGAATGAACAGATTTGGCATTTACAGCCAATGATTTCAATTTTCTATGTCGTCAATGACTGCCACATAGCCTGTAGCATCTGCAAACCATGTGAAATTCCTTCTTACCGTTTGTTTACAGTGCATTTTACAATATTCTTTTTTTTTAAACAACATTTTAAATAATTGGGAGATTTGAAAAGATAATTATTTGATCCAATCTATCAACAGATGAAATGTAAAGAAATAAGGTGTGTGAAACGTGAAGAATGTAGATTGTTCCAAAAGACTAGACATTTTCCACACAAACGTAATCTCACTCACATTCTCTAACCTTTCCCCCTAAAATACACCTAGGGAGAGTATCCTGTTTGCCATTTTGCATTGATGGAACAGCTGTTGTGTTCACTCTTGAATTTATGTAACTGTATGGTCAACAAAAATATTTCCTGAGTAAATATAATGGCACTACACATATTTCTTGAGTTATATTATCTAAACTCAGAATAGTGTGATTTTCTCATAACATATTCCTGAGCTGACAATCGTTTTTTGTGCATATACTGTAACTTTCATGGTTGTGAGAATATATGTTTTGTGTGTGAATGTTATGCCTCTGTGGATCTCAAAAGAGTGTCACTAGAGAAATGAATGGTTTGGCCTATTTCACAATTCCACGGCTGGCAGCTCAAGTCACTTTAACGTTGCTGCATATAGGCCTATTGTGCGATCGTTTTAGGCACAGCTCTCAAATTAAGATGTTTTACTACTGGATTCCTTTCTTTCAACACATGAATGATGACTCCAACTCCCACCAAGAAACTACACCTTGGATGGTAGCTAAACAGTAAAAGTGCATTACATAAACTGGATATGAGACATTTCATTTGTGAAATAAAAATGTTATGATGGACTGAACACTATTACATGGCCTCATTATGGACACTGGAGAAGAATACAACTCAGTATTGTATTTCAAATTAATGAATGCACAGAATGGTGTAAAAAAAATGTTTCGTCTGTTGTGGCTTCTATAATGTGATAAGTATTGAGTGACTCAAATTAAGTATGACTGATTTTAATTGAAAGTATTTGCAATTTATGATCTATTCACATTTTAAAATTGAAATCCCTTACAATCGAGAATCTAACTCCCCTTCACTTGATTGAGAGACAATTTACCCAAACAATTTATACTTATGTCAACGGATTGGCACGAAACCCAAACTAGCAACAGTTTTTCTATTCTATTGTAGTAGCCTGGTTATTAGGCATGCATCAATCCAATATTATGCATTGTGGTTGTATGAACAACCCCAAATAGGTTTTGTTTAGGGATCCAAGTATTCAACATACCACATGAAGCTATGTAATCCATGTAACAAACCATTGGTACAGATATGTATTGAAAAACATGGATGGATTATTGTTGAGATTTCCAATAGCCTTATCATGCAGGCATATTGTATTTCTGTCAAATTAAATTTGAGGCATCTGTGTTGAATTGTGGTCTTTATTGGTATACAATAATGTCAGAAAAAAGAATTTGATTTATCACCAACATAACGTCATAATCATATTTAGGCCACGTTCATGTTCTCTGGGTTTTAGAGTGTGGGTCTGTCTTACAACTATCTTTACTTGAATTGATGTAATAATGTGAATAAATTATGATGATTCAGAATCAGCTATTCTCTCAGATAGATGAATTTATGATCAAATAATTAATCACTTCATAATACCAACTATTTGGAATTTGACAAAGGTACCTGTTGCTTATGAAGTGAGAAGTTTGATATTCATTTCCATTGTAGAAAGGAGAGACATTACTCTTGAGGTACTGTTTCTTGTCTTGGGCTTTCATCAGCAGGGTCGTTCCACCAATTTGGTTCCTTTTGAGAAGTGTAACTTGGTGAAAAAAAACGTTTGATTTCACCTATTTTGAACATAAAGAGCACATGTTCAACTTCATAAAAACACGTTTCCCATCTCAAGAGGTTAAATAAAAAGAATACTATAGTAAGCCCTAGTAAGTGCCAAATAAAGTAACAGGTGTTGACCGTAACAGGGTTGACGATTAAATCAGCCATCAATCCCCTTGTGACAGGGGGAATGAAAGAAAGCTTGTTGTGTGCAGCAGGGAGTGGCAACTGAAAAACAACTATAGCCTGTCTATCTATGGTAACAGGGTTAACATGTTATGCTCAGGGCCGGCCCGCTCATTGGGCAGAATTAGGCGGGCCGGCAACGGCGGTAGATTGACGAGGGCAGCATTTTTTGAGCTGAACTGACCAAGACGCGCCTCCAACAACGACACATAAAACCTCACATAATTCTGCCCCAAAACAATGACAATTGCTCTCAACCAGTGGCATACAGGCTTTGTAGGTGAGTGCTGATACCGCCCTTTGATAAGCATTGCTCACTTTGTCAAAGGCAGGGGCACAAAATATTTTGCCTGTCCATTCCCAGCGCGCCTCTCCAGGGTGCTGTTGGAGAGACGCATCTCTGCAGTGCTCCACCAATGTTGCGTCAAAAAAAGTATCTAACATAAATCATGTAGCAGATTTAGGATATGGTAGAAAGAGTATGTGGCCTTTTCTGTAGCCTACAGACTGGAGATAAAATGTATGACAATGTAATGAGACGGAAACGTTTTACATCATGCAGGTTTCTCCGATCAAATAGCATAACCTAAAATGAGCTGTCATGTTAACAACATATCCTAAAAGCAGGACAGCTCAAAGTAAAATGGACAATATGGAATCGACAATCACAACTGTTGTCCAGGAGTTTCACCCCATTGTCATGATCAGTGGTTTCAAGTTTGTATCAGTAAAATGTTGGGTAAACACACTGCAAATAGGCTTGCGATAACTCCTGATAAAGTTGGGTAGCTGATATTCAGAGCTTAAATAGCCAAATTGATTAGTCACAGGAATCAGGACTAATAAAGCCAATGCAATGGCCTGTTTTCCAAACGGTTGGCCTACCACATTGATGGGCATTCATAAAATCCCATTGCTGGCTGACATGGTAGGCTACACCCCAGTAAGCACGAGCCGACGTCTTTCAGACGTCTTTTTTAGGTCCTGTCCTGACGTCGTCTTTTGGTGTTTTACAAACGGTAGGCTTACCACATAGATGGGCATTCATCAAATTAAATTTCAGGCAACACTGTAGGCTACACCTCAGTAAGCACGGACCAATGCCGACACCTTCTGGACGTCTTTTTTTGGTGCAGTTCCGGACCGGCCTTGATTTCCACATCCACGGACATTGGTTTTTGGACCAGACCGGACCAAATCTGAACCAATTATAGACGTCTATGTTTGGTTCAGATTTGGTGCGGTCCAGACCGGCCTTGATTTCAACATCCACGGACATAGATTTTTGGTCCAGTCCAGACCTAATCTGAACTAATCATAGACGTCTATGTGTGGTTCAGATTTTGTCCGGTCTGGACCAGCCTTGATTTGGCCCAAACATAGACGTCTACAAATGACTTATTTTCAACTTTCATTCAGAACCAAAAATTAGCCTGATTTCAACATCTGTAAAATACGTATTTTCAACATCTGTAAATTACGTATTTTTAACATCAGGAAAATAAGTATTTTTCAATGTCCGGAAAATATTCATTTTCAATGTCCTGGAAAATATGTATTTTAAACATACGGAAAATACCTTTTCACCTTTCATTCAGAACCTAAATTGTACCTAACTTGGTCTCACCTATGGTGGCAGAACAGCAATGACCGGCCCAGGTTATGCTTGACCCACTCAGTT